GTTATTATTTCAATTTAAATTTTAGATTTGGATTGTAGTCTGATCCTTGAATTTTTGGGTTGTATTTTTTTAATTAAAATTTATTTAATTGGTTGGTGCGGCCAATTATTACATTGGAGTATGAACTCGAATATACAAGCCATAAAGGCGTGAAAAATACGTATTTATTTATAGGATTATTATATAGCCTATTATATTTTCGGTTAAAACATATTTTTAGTTGTATTTTAGTCCTCGTATTTTTTAATGATTTGATCTTTTATATTTTAAATATAAAATGTAAAATTAATATTAAAAAATTATAAATTTGAAAACTATACGGGTTTATATTGCTTAAAGCTCCTTAATATTTTGAACCCTAAATTTGAAAGTACGTATAAATGAAGATGAGTTTGATCTCTTTTTAAGATCCATCCTTCTCTTCAGCCATCATATCTGTAATCTATACTAAATTGACCAGTCTATTGAAAATGCAAATATAATCCTTTATTATGAAAATAATAATGCTATTTTTATTGGTACGAGACTTTTGGTTAGAATATAAAACCAAAACCACGTAGTCTTAGGTTAAAAAAGCTAATATTACTTGCAGCGAGAAGACTAATATGCCACTTTGGTGATCCCTCATTTGGGCTAGTATCCAAATGAGTCACTTTTTCACTCTCTCGTAGATCCAAACTCACTTTTTCACCCTCTTATAGATCCATACATTTACACGTGAGAGGCAACATTTTAGAGAAAACTCTCAAAATAATAAATTTTTTATAATATTTTGTAGGTTAAATACTATTTTGGTCCATGTATTTTCAACTTTAGTTTATTTTAGTCTATATACTCTCAACTTTTATCCATTTTAGTTAATCATTTTCAAAACGTCCAATTTAAAAAAGTGATTATTTTGGTCAATTCATTTCATTTTTATCTAATTTATTTCGATCATAACACTTCACTTACTAAATCTATTATAACCATAAATTTTTATTAAAGAGTTTCCATTATGTATAAAATTTTGTAAATACGGTCCAAATTGATCACTTTTTAAAAGTAAAGGGATCAAAATGAATTAAAAACACAAAACTACCGGACCAAAATAGTATTTGAAACTATTTTAAAAATTAGAACAAGTTGTTCCCAGCCCTGTTGTAGGTTCTTAATATATAACATCAAAGGAAAATGCTATAAAGGATTATAGAAGATGTTCCCACAGAATCATATCCCATATTTAAAGAGGAAAAATAGATCACTCTGTTCTAGTATTCTTAGGCCAAATTCCCAGCTGAAAAACACAAGAAATTCCTTTGAAAACAGAACAATAATACAAGAGAGAGAGAGAGAGAGAGATGCTCCTAATTAATGAACATATTATGGAGAACTAAAATAAGTGTTGGAAGTTGAACAGATATGAATAAACAATAGATACCACCACAAAATGCGGCTGAATTTCACACACACAAGTTGAGGAAAATTATAATATTTAGATGAAGGCTTCGGCTTCGGCTTCTGTTTCAATGGAATCACATGCTTCCATTGAACTCCAACACCACACAATCGCCGCAACCAACTCAACAGTGTATCATCAAATTGTTTAATTAATCACAAAAAATGCAGATTTAGAGATTCTATCTTCATAAACTTGTTGTATTCATCTAAAACAATGTTTTTTGTATTTCAGAATCTTTACTCTACTCCACTGATAGTGAAGAAAATTGGACAAATCTTCAATCCTAATCGGTTATATCAGCAATTTGATCACGCAATCAATTTGGTCCTCTTAGCTTTAATTTGTTGTTTCTAGACCATTTTTAACCTACTCGAAAACTCGTCTACCAAGTTTTCCTTATTTTCTTACTCAATGGTAAACCCTAGTACAATTAGCTATGAGATTTGACCAAATTGTAACATGTAAAACTAGCTGGACTAAATTGAAACTAAGCTCAAGCTCAAAGCTAACGGAGAAAATTGAAAATGTTAGAAGCATAGTAATCTAACTCTACAAAAACAGGATGAGATGAATTAGGAAGAATCACGATGTCACCTGGCATTGGAAGCCAGAGGAGCGAACTCGGAGAGAGGAGTAGCAACAGGCGTAGGAGCAGGGGAATTTCTACATAACGGACAAGTCGCGCTCATACGCAGCCATTCGTCGATGCAATCCGCATGGAAACAGTGACGGCACTCCGGAATGCAGCGGAG